TTCGAAGTTATCCCTGTATCCAAACCAGCTAGTTAATCGACTATTATCTTCCCGCATAATTTCTAACGACCTCAAGAGACGTTTCAAACGGATTTGGTCAAAATATTTACTACCTAATTCAATCTGCCAAGTATATGAACGTTATTATTGATATTACCGTCACTTATTTATATAATTATAATATATAATAAACATTGGTTATTGTACCTTTTGAGTGTATATATATTGTTTTTATTCAAATTTTTAATAATAATAAAGAAATATATATTTTTCAATATTTTCTTTGAGACAATTTTTGTATTTTTAATTAATGTTTCCAACAAAAAATCAAGGAAATCGTCGTAGACGGAGGTAAAACGAGTGAGGTGCCATTCCGTCGTTTTTTACTCTACAAATAACAGAACGGTAGCGTCTATCTAATTGGCTACCTTACAGGTGCATTACATAATGCAGACAACTGCATTTTGAGCTGTATAAAATTCTTTTTTGTTTGTTATAAATATCATGTTGTTGGATACAGTATAATAGACAGCAGAAAACAGGAACAAATGGATAATTTTGTTTTTGTTCCTGGACAGAGTTTCTAGAAATTCTTTTTTTCTTCTTATACAATTTACATCATCTACTTATAATAATATACGTCGTAGTGTCTCGACAAGGAGTGAAGAGTAAAAATCGTTTTTCTGCACTTCCGGTCCATCTGCCAGCAAGCTCCATTGTATACACTGCGGACACCATATTGTGATGTCCACCCAAAATATATACAAAATTGTACATCACTTGCATGTTCTGCAGCCGAGTCAAATGTCAGCTGTCGGACGTACTCTATTGAAATTATAATAATTTGTAACCCATCACAAGGGCGGAAACGGCGAATAATCGACCTCCACGTATAATCAGACGAAAATTTATTAAAAATCAAAAAAATTTCATGTGTGGGTTTATTCGCGTTATTATGTACTTGGATCGACATGGACTGCGATTCGAGGAATAATAATTAAAGACATTGCAACTGTTCGTGCTCAAAAAACTCCGGAGTAACCGCGGTATAAACCCCGCCCGCATTATAGCGGTAGTATTATTTTCTATAATTCTGAAAAACAATCGAAGTATTAAAACCCTTCGTACAGATTTTTGTACATCGTGTTATATTGATCGGTATAATAAAAAAAAAAAAAAAAAAAAAAACGAAAAACCGTACCGTTTTCGTTTGTCGTAATACTCCACCGCCGTCTCGCAGACGTGAGAAAGCCTATATAACGTTAGGTATATACAAGAGAATTAAATAAAAATACTCCCTCGTGTGTAGGTACTTATAAACAGCAGTTCATATATACCAGACATTATGTTTTACTATTAAATTCGTTTTTCGAGTACGCATTCTGGTCCCGCGTGTTCGTGTTATTATTATATATATTATATTTTCTTTTGTTTCTCCGGGACATTATGTTAAAACAAGGCTCTCGCGGCGGCCAAAGTCCCCTGCCGCACAACAATAGACTCTCTTTTTATCATATCGTTCGGCGGTGGCGCGTCCCTCTTTCACCGGCCGGTAACAATAAAAAGGATTTCTGCCGGACCGTTCGTCGTCGCCGCCGCCGCCCTTTCATCCTACCCCCCCCCTCTAGTCTTCCGGATTTCGCCGGACTCTCGAAATTATTATTATTATTATTATTATTACTATTGCTATTATAATCATCGTCGTAATCCATTACCGTTTTTGGGCCCTTTTCGTTTTTCCGTCGCCGCGTGTCCTCCTCTTGCGTGAGTGCGTGCACGTCCCGATAATTAAGTCTCCATTATACTAAACACACACACAAACGTACACCACACACGCATGTGGTCGAGACGGAGAGAGATGGCGAGTGACTCTATATGTATGGACTGACGGAGAATCGGACGTTTAACCCTTGGACGGGTTAGGGTAACGAGTGGTGCGCGTATATTATTATTATTATTATTATTAATTTATTAAATTTCTGTATTCGCGTTTTATTGACAGCGGTGTCTGCGGCAGGGAACTCAGAAGAGAATATTATATACAATGAATATTATTATATTCTCGCGAAAGTCGTCCCAGAAACACGGCGATCGATTGTGCGTCACAACATATTATCTCACGGACCGTGGTGTATATTATAATATGGAATATCCAGTAGGTACAAAGGATATAGAATAATAAAGATATATTAAAATATTATGGCAATATTAAATTATGTCATTATTGCACTGTTGCAGCGGGCTGTGAGTGTATGATATGTTGATCTGAAAATGTAATATTATAATTATTATAATGGTTATGTACTACAATATTATCACGATTCATGGTATGGAATTTATTTATTGATTTAGAATTTAATAGGTATATGACTAGTTTTATCATGCATTTTTTTGTCAAAAATAAGATTTTAAAAATGGTTTTTTTTAATTAGGTATGCTAATTTTTTTTTTATACTTTTAGTAGTAAAAAATAAACGCAAAGAATTGTTGAGAAGTTTTATAAATATTACTAGCTGATCCTGCGCACTTCATGGCCCGTAAAAAATGACAACCCTTAAAAAATTGTGATTGTTCAACTCCTTTTGGGTGTAACCCACAGCAGTTAGTGCAACTCTGCAACCCTGGTAGGCAATGTGCGAAAATTCGATTTGATGCATGCTGGTACCTGATCTGCCAGATTATCCAATATCAACCAGTAATAAATAAATACTATTTTTATTAATTATTATTTCTATCCTATAAACCAATAGCAATCATTTATAAACAAACATTTCCATAGTAATCCCTGTCTGAGCACCTCCCCAGGCATCTATATTAACAAAGTTCAAACAAACAAACTCTACAGCTTTATATATTAGTATAGATAAACAAATTTCAAAATATTCATTATAACAAAAATAATGAAGTATTTAAGTGCATTTGTCAGATTTTTCTGTTACTCTACATATTATGATACAATTGATCTGTATTGAATTTTTAATCTTATAAGATGTGCAGTGACGACCAACTATAATATAGTAAAATATAAACTATTATCTAGGAAAGACAATAGAATATTATACTATTTTTTATATTTATGAATTATTGATAAATTGTATACATATTAATATATTATTATTTACGTATAAGGATTGGCTGCAAGTTAAAAACATATTTATACAGTCTACGCCCGTCTGGCACTTCAGTTGACGGATTTTATTCAGTGTAATAAATAATAATAATAATAAACTACAAAAAAAAAATAATTTGTTTTTTAAGTGAACACGCTAAAGCTATACTATTATTATATGTAAAACAAAAGTATGGTTTTTTACTTTCACCGAATATATGCACCGTACCACAGACAGAGATTATTTCTAAATATTAATATTTAAGCATGTAACACACCCGTTGTGATTATGATTAATAGTAAAGGTTTTACGTTAATTCTTAAGTTTTATACGACGACTGTTTACGAGCAGATTTATTTATTATTGTTCTGTAGGTACACCAGTTAGAGTAATAGTTTTATACTGCAGCCAAATACGAACGTATTACCCCGATCAGCTAGTTGAGTAAATTATGAAAACTTTTGGTTACCAAGGTATCGTTCAACCTTTATACTTGGACGTTGGAAACAAAGAAGGTATAACATGTTACTTGTTGTGAAATAGTATTCTAGACCTTTAATACTTAAGGCTTTATTAAACAAAAACGTGATACGGAGCGTCTTTCCGGGACGTCCGTGATCGTGAATAACAATGCGTTGTGTATCGTTATAGTATCGTTTATTATATAATCACTAAATAATGTTTATAATGATCGGGGCAAGTTATCCCGGGCCGCGCGGCAGGCTTGAAGAAGCGGCCGCGGCGGGCGGGTTCGGGCCTGAAGAGGCGCGAGCAAAACAATAGTCGGGATTTGCCTATACGTTTCGTAGAAAGAATACAATAATGATAAGGGAGAGTAGGAACCGTCCGTGCACGGACTCGAGCAAGTCGTGTGGGTTCGGTTCTTCCTCGCGGTGAAACTCGAATAAGCTCACCGTAGGGGGGAACGTGGTATTACTTGTGTCGGCTTGCTGAATCGTCGATTGGCCAAGCTACGTCGCGAAGTCGGTTCCCGGCGTGTCTTGGTATTCGTCCAACGGCGTGACTGGACTCGATTGAACGGGTGGACTTGACAGTAATGGATCGTCGGAGTATAATTATATTATACGCGGCCGTCGGTGGGTTAATCAGGTCCCGGTGTGGCGGCTATCCGTTGTCGTCGATCGCTGGATGCACACGGTAGGCTTGGCGTCGCTGGTCCGTGAAGTGGCGCTTGTTAGCCAGGTATGCCGGGTACTGTTGAGTCTCGGCGGTATCGAGCGATCACGCTAGACCGGTGTGCTCAGGGTGCGTCGTCGTGGACTGGCTAGGTCGAATCAGCTTCGTCGGCGTCGTTCAGGTCGGTGTTGCTGCTGCGTCGTTAGTCTTCGGGTCTTCTGGTCTTCAGGTCTTCGGGTCTTCTATAGTGCTTGTTGACTTGTAGAAGATATGTTGAAGACTGGTGTGGAAGATGATTTGACCGGTGAACTGTCCCGGTATATATACTATTTGTTTCCCTTTGTTGTCCTGTGATTGGTCGGGCATGGTTGCTTTGATAAGCAATAACCACACCTTGACCCATTGGTGTTCGCTTTGTTAATGTGGTTCTTGCTAGTTATTTCCGTGAAACTTTCCTGTTGGCAAACTACTTATTCTAGTGTGTCGCGTTTATTTCTTGTGTCGCATTATGTTGCCATACTGTTGTGTTTGGTGGTCCTGAAAAGGACCATTTTAATATAGTGACGGTTTATCCCGTTACAAACGTGGTGCACATTATTACATTATTACACAATAAACTACATGACATTGCAACTTATAATATTATTATGAAACAGATAAAGAATATAGTTAAGATATAATAAATAGGAATATAATAGATAAGATAACAATATTACTTTATCACATTCTCCCTAGCATAGAAAATACTAATTATTAATTAGTGACATAGTCTTTTAAGTATTTAGGGGTTGATTTATTTCTGGTGGTTCTCCGAGGTCCATCAAGTTCATTTGATGTTCCTTCTGTACTAGCATCTGTTTGAATCATCTCTTCCTTTGGCTCACTTGTGGTTGGAGTGTCTTGAAGTGTTGTTTTTGGATCTATTCTGTCTGAAGGTTCTTCATATAATGTTCTGTCACCCACAGGTGCTAGATCTCTTAACGAAACATTTGACTCTCTACCATTTTCATAGCGTACTAAAGCGTATTCAGGATTTACTTCGACTAAATCCACTTCTTCCACTAATGGCTCGTACTTTGAAGCACGTACATGTTTCTTTATGAAGACTTTCCCGGGGCAGCTGAGCCATGACGGAAGTGTTCCACCATTTGAAGAGCGCCGAGGATGAGCGAAAAATCGTTCGTGTGGTGTACAATTGGTAGCAGTACACAGCAAAGACCGAATGGAATGTAAGGCATCAGCTATTACAGCTTCCCACTGTTCTAATTTCAATCCTCTTGTTTTTATAGCCAACTGGACAGTCTTCCAGATAATTCCGTTATACCGTTCGACCTGACCATTCCCTGCGGGATTATAGGGCGTTGTACGGCTAGTGGCAATGCCTCGGGTACACAGGAAAGTTGTGAGCTCTTGAGAGAGAAAAGCTGCTCCTCGATCTGAATGAATATATGCTGGCATACCAAATATAGAAAATAGGTAGGACAGACACTTTATCACTGTGGCTGAGCTCAGGTCCCTGCATGGTATGGCAAAAGGAAAGCGTGAAAACTCGTCTACGATCGTAAGGATATAATTATTTCCAGTCTTAGATGGTATCGGTCCCTTGAAATCAATATTCAATCGCTCGAATGGTGAAGTAGCTTTTATAAGATGACCTTCTTGTTTTTTGTAGAACCTTGGTTTTACTTCTGCACATACATTACAGCTACTGGTCAACTTCTTTATATCTTCAATTGAAAATGGTAGATTCTTACTCTTGATCCAGTGGAACATTCTAGTAACACCTGGATGACATAGAGATTTGTGTAAATCAGATAACATGTTAGAGTTATTTACAACAGCGCATACTCTTGAGAAAGTGTCAGCAACAGTGTTTTCCTTTCCTGGGCGATATTGTATGTCAAAACTAAAACAAGAAAGCTCAAGTCTCCATCTAATAATTTTATCATTTTTAATTTTACTTGAATGTTTCAAGTTAAACATAAAAGATACGGCTTCTTGATCCGTTATAAGTTTGAACTGCCTCCCTATTAAAAAATGTCTCCATTTCCTTAATGCCTCTACAATTGCATAAGCTTCTTTTTCTATAGATGGGTGTTTCTTTTCACAATTCCTACACACAGCTTCCCTAGCTGGACAAGAGCTACGCGGATGCCGGTCATACCCGCAAAAAAAACATTTTTGTCGGATGGCTGCGATCATTGATTCAGATTGTTCGTCTTCTGCTTCGGTATTTACATGATTTATAGATTCTACAGGCATAGAGTAGGCTTCAGACTGCTTTTGTGCCATCTCTAGCGCTCGTGACTGCATCACTGCTCGTTCTAGACTTAGTTCGTCGTTTTCTAACAGACGTTGACGGATGCTATTAGACATGATACCATTAATGAATGCGTCTCTTATGTACTCATCCTTATACTGTGAGGGACTAACGGCTTTAAATGTACATTCCTTAGCTAAAATCTTTAGAGACTGCAAGTATTGGTCAATAGATTCACTTGTCAGTTGTTTCTTTGTGGCTAATAGATGTCTGGCAAATATTTCATTTTTAGGCTTTATATAAATACCATCTAGAATTTTAATAGCATCACTGAAATCTTTACAGTCGCTTATATGGTCATACACTGAGTGGCTTAAAAAGTTAATGAGTACCTTTAATTTATCCTCCTCTTTTAGTTTGGCCTCTGCAATATAATTTTGGAACAATTTCTTCCAATGAGACCACTCCTTGGCTGCTGTGGGTGAATTTTGGTCTGCTTCAAAACGATCGGGTCTCAGCAGTTTTTCCATATTGATTAATAAGTTTTTGTTTAATAAATTGTTGTGAAATAGTATTCTAGACCTTTAATACTTAAGGCTTTATTAAACAAAAACGTGGTGCACATTATTACATTATTACACAATAAACTACATGACATTGCAACTTATAATATTATTATGAAACAGATAAAGAATATAGTTAAGATATAATAAATAGGAATATAATAGATAAGATAACAATATTACTTTATCACATTACTATTGTATACATGTTACTATATATTATGTTACTCATTCTACAAATTATACTTTACAATACCCGAAATTAAGATGATCATTTTTTATGCTGCAAGTCAATAAAAACTATAACAATATATACATAACAACGTACTGATTTAATTCAGTGTAATAAATAATAATAATAATAAACTGTAAAAAAAAATGATTTGATTTTTAAGTGAACAGGCTAAAGTTATACTATTATATATAAAATAAAAGTATCGTTTTTTACTTTCGCTGAATATGCACCGGACCACAGACAGAGATTATTTCTAAATATTAATATATGCAGTAAGCATATTATGTAACACACCCGTCATTGTCATTATGATTAATAGTAAAGTTATTACGTTAATTCTTACGTTCTATACGACGACTGTTTACGAGTAGATTTATTTATTATTGTTCTGTAGGTACACCAGTTGGAGTAATTTTATACTGCAACCAAATACGAACGTATTACCACGATCGTCTTATTCATCTAGTTGAGTAAATGATGAAAGCGTCTGGTTTCTGAGGTATCGTTCAACTCGTTTATGCTTGGACATTGGAAACAGTGGCGTCCACAGGATTTTTCAATGGGGGGGGTACTTGAAAATTAGTTACATTTTTATTTTGTCCAGTCTATTAATTTCTGACGTTTATTCGAGGTATTTTAAAATGTTTGTAACTTTTCAACTTTTCTGGTAGAAAAAATGCTCTGATCATAAGCTTCGATGCCCAGTGTATGTTTTTGGAAGCAAAATGGATCTAGTTTGTACTTTTAGGAGGTCGAAATTGATAATGCTCAGTGCTTTTAAAAATAATTGGAGAAAAAAAATGAAAATTTATTTAAATGTTTGGTTATACCGTCTTCACTTGGATTGTATTTGAATAATTAAATTTTTTTTTTCTATAAATGTCAATAAAAAATTATTTATCCGGTCAAAAATCTTAAAAATGTAATACGTAAGTTATTTTTTTATAGCTAAAATATTAACGATACATAGGCATAGTGTGAAAAAATTTCATGAAATTTAAAAAAATGAAATATTTCAGTATTTTGATATATTTTGTTTTATTTTTAAATAAGTTTTATACTTACAAATAATTGTCATAAATTACCTTCTTAACTGTATGTATACCTAACCTTTGGTATTATACATTTAAAATGGTATTCAACATTTTTAAATATTTTAATGTTTAAATGATACAAGTAGGTATACAATATTATAAATGCATATTGTATAAATACTGAATTCTGTCATTAGAATTTAGAACACTGAACATTGTGTTAAAACAATAAATAAATTGTGTTTTTATTTGTGTAAAAAAATTTCAATGTGTCACGTTTTTGTGAAATATTTCATACTTCAAACACTACATAGGCACCATGGTTATTTTTTATAAGCAAATTTAAATATAAGTTCAAATTTCGTCAAAATGACAGTTAATTTGTAGTTCAAAACTTATAAAATATAAAATATATATAGCTAAGGCTAGACAATTTAGTACAAGGTCTTTCATACAAGTAGTTCATACTTTTACCTAAAAATTACAGATAATTTATGAAAATTGGTATGCAAATACAATGTTCTTTCAAAAATGAATTCATTCTGGTAAGACATATATGAAATTGACTTCTTGCTTACTATAGTTGACAGTTTAACTTGATTAATATTTTTTTTAAAAAGTAACAATAATACGGGCAATGGGTGGGGGCTTCAGCCCTTTAGCCCCCCCCCCTGGGGACGCCACTGATTGGAAACAATGGAATCAGTGAAACAAAGCACGCATAACGTCATAAAGCTAATGCTACAAATTATACTTTACAATACCCGAAAGATGATCATTTTTTATACTGAAGTCAATAAAAACTTTAACCGTACATAGATAACAATATGTAATTGAATAAATTATGAAAACGTTTGGTTTCCAAGGTATGGTTCAACTCGTTTATGATTGGACATTGTAAACAATTGAATCAGTGAAACAAAGCAAGTATAACGTCATAAACCTCATGATGCTACAAATTTAATTTTACAATACCCGAAATTAAAATGATAATTTTTTATACTGCAAGTCGATAAAAACTATAACAATATACCTATGCATAACAATGTACATGCTCGAGTATAATACTAACAAGTAACACATAATTTGGATAAAAAGAATCTATTATTGAATTATTTAAATCATATTGTACTTCGTGCGAGTATGAAAAAAAACATTTGTACGCTATGCATATGTAAATATTTTATAGTAGTGTACAAAACGTTTTTTTTATCATGTTTTCACAGCAAGTATATAATATAAAATACCACCAAATCGATTTATATTTGGAGCTAAAGAAACATCGCTAAGCATTTTAAAATAGGTTTTTTTCTTTTCAAACACAAAAAATAACATAGTAATTTATATATAATAATAATGTTTTTGGGTATCTATATAAAAATATATTTTATTTTCCATAAAATATAATAAGAAAATTCTGCTCACGTCAGTGAAAGATTTTGGATGGTGTGTCGTAAAAATATTCGGTGAACCAACTGTTGGGGTCGTATAAAGTATTAAAATATCTGTATAAAACCCAAAATATGAAATCTTATTTTTTCTTTATTTCACAAATTGCTATTATGAGTCATTTTACAGCTAAACGTATTTTAAAAAAAAATGTATTTTTCATTCGTCTTTATACTTAATTTATCAAAATGTAGGCAATTAAGCAATGTAATTCGCAGATATAAGCTTACATCAAGCTTAAAAAGTTATAACACATGATAAACTATGCTAATTTCACTTGCTAGTTCAGTTTTTTATTATTAGGTACCTACTTATAAATTAATTTGTTTAAATATTTTATTTATATTTTATACGCATCAAAAACATGATTATTAGCGTTATCTATGTTTAAGTGTCTTATAAAATACAAAATATGGTAGCTTAAAGTAAAAAAAATATTTAAAAAAGAGCATAATATTGATATATTATATTATGTTAAATTAATATTATAATACAGTTCAGATAAATGAAGACAGTCGATAAGCAGAGTGGAGATTTCAGGGTTAGAAGTTTACAGGGGTTGTGTAGAATATTGAGCTCGTCTCCTATTCCTTTAAGTTGTATGTAACATTTTCGAGAGAATAATTGTGATTCGCACATAGAGGCTGATCCAGCCCAGTCGGGTGAGGTGTTTGAGTGATCGATTCGGAGTCTATTGATGATAATTATTTTAGTACCTACGTCAAAGGAAATAATAATCGCGATCCCGAGGGAAGGCGAAAGACTTAATCTATCTTATAATTTAATTTGTGATGTGTTTCTATTCAAGGTCGGAGATTTTTTTTTTAAATTGCCATAGAGATTTTTGATCACACGATTTTTGTGAAATAATATTGTAATGTGATGATTATCACAAAAATAATTTTATAATTTATATTATATAGGTCAATGGTTTAAATAGAAATAAAGACTAAATAAGGCTAAATATCGCGATCGATTGTATGGCTGGATATAAGAGTATATGTATTGTTTAAATACAATAATAAACTCGTATATCATGCGGAAAAGCCATTATTTGAAGTCAAATAAAAAAGCCTCGGAAAAAAATTTTTTTCCCCCATAATATACGCCTGCTGCAACTTTCAAGTATATGGGCGTGCGTCCCACGTTGAAACGTCAACGGGGGAAAGGGAAAAAGAAAATGAATTTTCCATCGACAAATATATAGCCCACTCTCGGATCGCATGCTGCAATAATTAAATAATTCATGAGACCGTTTTTTGTCGTCCGTTCCCGAGCGTTGGCGCCAGTTCGGTGCAGGCCACGGTCTGGAGAGATTCGTCGGTCCGTTATCGATATAGGTAATATACACTGCAAGTCGAGAGACGCAAAGGAGCATTTTCCGAACCGACCGGATAATGCATTGTCTCCGCTGGCGGCTTAAAAAGCACATATAGTACAGTATAATAATATAATATAACTCTGCTGTACATATTATGCATTTTTCTGTCGGAAGTGCAGATAGACCGAGAGCGGGCTGACAAAACGCTCCCGGGAGGGTGTTGGAGCGCGAAAGTTTTTCGTGTTTTTTGTTCGTTTCGCGAACGCGTCCGTCAAATTAAAAAGACGAAAACAAAAAATTGTCTATTGTCTGTCAGCGCTGCTCTATCGCACCGGGTCGCACGGGTCGCAAACAATAATTGTTGTTTCGCGGTACACCGAGTTTCGTGAAAATTATTCGGTAAAAAAGCGCCACTCCTCCTTATACCTAGGTATAGGTATACAACACAACTCGCGTGATACGACTCGCCCCGGTTTTTACGATGATAATAATATTATTATTATAATGGTGAACGGATTCATTTCGCGAACGACTACGTTCCTCCTATATCGATGTAACTAACACACACACACACACACGTATTATACTGCATGTGTACACATTTTATTATAATATTCGACGACGCGGCACTGCCGGTGAATATTATTATCGCAGGGAGGTGCTCGTTTCTATTGTTGTACCGATGACGACGACAACGACGTGGAACGGGTTCTTTATTTTTTTATTTTATTTTTTTCCGAACCGAGAAATCGTATTTTTTGTTTTATGCATTTTTTGGCTTATCCATTGTGTTCTCACGACTCACGAGTGTATCGTATAATATATATAACATATATACATTTAGGTATTATATATGGCCGCGTGCGATAAGTGTTTACGACGTTATAAAAACGCGCGACGGTTGCGTACTATGAGCGTCGGAGAGTAA